CTTGAATCTTCGCTTCTGGTAGCAGAATTGCGGGGATTGTAGGGCACAAAGCCCCCCTCTCGCGTTGGCACTAGCGTCGCCTGCGGAAAAAAAAGAGAAAGCTGTGGCCCCGATATTTGCACTCGCCGCACTCGTTGGCTCAACTTGGACTTTGGACTTTTTCCTCATCACGCCCATCGCCAACAGGTAGTCGACAAAATGGCCCGCGGAATGTAAGTAACACAGTCAACAGAACAAAACGAGAAGTCAACAATTGATCGTTTGTGTTTCTCTACACTTCGTTTCCAATTGTTGACATTTTTTGCTTGTCTGCGGATTCGAGATGAAGACCCTGACGAAGCCCGGGTTTACTAACATTTCGGCAGCAAGAAGCACCAGAAGCGCCTCAGCGCCCCCTCGCACTGGCTGCTGGACAAATTGTCCGGCACCTACGCTCCCAAGCCCTCTGCCGGTCCTCACAAGCTCCGCGACTGCTTGCCCTTGATCGTCTTCATCCGCAACCGCCTCAAGTATGCCCTCAACTACCGCGAGACCAAGGCCATCCTCATGCAGCGCCTGGTCAAGGTTGACGGCAAGGTCCGCACCGACATGACCTACCCTGCTGGCTTCATGGACGTCATCACTATCGAGAAGACTGGCGAGAACTTCCGCCTCGTCTACGACACCAAGGGCCGCTTCACCGTCCACCGAATCCAGGCCGAGGAGGCCGAGTACAAGCTCGGCAAGGTCAAGCGCGTGCAGCTTGGCCGTGGCGGAATCCCATTCTTGGTTACGCACGATGCGAGAACGTGAGTGTTTTGGCTTTGAAAGAACCAAACCCTGTTCTGTTAGACATCATTCAGTCGTTGGATCAAGCTTTGGTCGATTCTTCTTCTTTCGAGGACTCTTCGTGTCTTTCTCGAATTCCACACACTTTCCACCCCCGTCTCCTACCATGTCGATTGATTATATTGCTATATAATGTGTTGGTGTACGATTTTGGGGCTAGGAAACGTGGACCAGAAAGAACGAAGAGCTTTGAGAAGAGACGAGACATGGCTTGTTTCAACGGCTGTAATGTACCCCCCTTAGAGAACCCCAGGTTGGCTAACTGTAAATCTCTTTTTGCGTAAATTTAGCATCCGTTACCCTGACCCTCTGATCAAGGTCAACGACACCGTCAAGATTGACCTCGCCACCGGCAAGATTACCGACTTCATCAAGTTCGACACTGGCGCCGTTGCCATGGTCACTGGTGGTCGTAACATGGGCCGTGTTGGTGTCATCACCCACCGTGAGCGTCACGACGGTGGCTTCAACATTGTCCACATCAAGGACGCCATTGACAACAGCTTTGCCACCCGTGAGAGCAACGTTTTCGTCATTGGCCAGGATAAGCCCTGGATCTCCCTGCCCAAGGGCAAGGGTGTCAAGCTCACCATTGCTGAGGAGCGTGACCGCCGCCGTGCTTACACTCAGTCCCACTAAGTGTCTCTTGATACATGGTGCCATATACCCTAGGTAGTGTACTTGGATGACATGTGGGAAAGGGGTGAGATGACGGGAAATAAGAAAATAAAACTTTTGTTTGGCATGTGGAACTGGAGTCTCGGATTTGACGAATTTCTTCCTTCTGGGGCCCATGATAAACCCTGGAGAATATAGCCGGCCATGTGAGGCTTACGAGTAAAAAGAACAATTACGCAAAGCTAAGGCGTTCCTTGTCAAGTGATCTTCACTCTTCCTCGTGACTGTATCGTGTTCTAGGCTACAGAGTGAATACTGTTTCTTAAATGTGACGCTGATGGGCGTTTCGTTCGAGCTGTCCCGTGGGAACAAGGCGGACTGACGCGACTCCTATAAAAACATTGAGGCCCACCAGGTTGGTTCAAGTCCAACGAAAGCGGCCATCGACATTGCACATCCTATACTGCTGGTGTTTTCATCGCATGTATGTTTACTAGAGTGTCATAGATTTGATTTGTTGAGTTCAATGTATACATAAGCATAACGCAACACTTTGCGTGGAACAACCCAGCGCACTCCGCGTGTGATCAGATTCCCGGTAAAACACATAACACATGGGGTCGCAGTACCTTGATATGATCCGTGATAAAGGGTCACGACGGCTTATCGTGCGTCAATCGATGGACTGGCCTAGCGAACTAGCAACAAGAGTGTCATAGACACATCCTGGCGTATGAGCAAAGAACGCTTATACCTCACCATCGGCGACCGGCTCGGCCTCCGAAGTCCACACATTATCGATGCATGGTCCGTAAGTCTGAGTGAGCTGATTCTTTCCAACTAACATCCAATGACTGACAATCTCGTGTATCAGTCAAAGGCGAAGTTCTACTGCGGAGGTATGCATAAACATAGACATGTAAGGCAAAAAGCATCTGACGTAACAAGGTATCCGCACATCACACCACAGACTATTACATGCTGCAGTGTATGACCGCCACTTAGCTTATGTCCAGCTTATCCTGATAGAAGGTATATTCTCACCGGATCAATTTGTATGAAATTCGCAAATGTGATGTGATGAAGGCATTCTCGGGACGTAGCGGAACAGTCATTCCTAAGTGAATATGGCGACGGTTGTGCTATAGCCTATGAGTACTCCGTAGCTGCCCTCACCATTTTCACCTCGTCTGCCGGCAAGACACAAACCGTGATTCACTAGGGCAGCGATAACGAGAAAATACCTACCAGCTCAATGTGGAAGAACTTCCCGCGACCATCTCCTTGGTAGGTCGTGCTGGGAAAAAGTCTCGTCCTTGAGAATATTCTGGCCTGAATGGGGATCATGGACGTCGTAAGTCATCTAGCCAATGAGTCGATGGAACGGCGCCGCCTCTCAAGTGCTCGCACAATCTGCTAAAATGCTTGGTGGCCGATCCCGCATCAATGACCCACGAAACAATGCTTCGCCGCCCGAGTTCCGCAAGCTCCATCATCGTAGACCGAGACGGCTCCAGCAAAAGACCCAGTACTCACCTAGGTACGGATAGGCTCGTCATGGAAAAATCACCAGATTTCGGGAACCTATTATCCGTGCTACTTGTCCAAGATGGTCGCCATCAACATCTACCCAAGTCTCCGCCCCCGAGACGACACTGTTCCTAAGCCCGCGGTGTCTGAAGAAACCAGACCGTGGGCTTCGCCATTTGGCTGCATCAAGGTGAGTACAAGGGATGACAGCCGGCCATCCGGGTTCCTTGATAAGTGAGGACTGACTGATGTTGATCTTCGACCAACCGTAGTCTCGTTTGCAGTCGCCGATATTGGATGCTCGTCTCGGCAGCAAAGGACAAGAAATAAATGACAGTAAAACATGCTGGTGGTAACAATTGGAGGAGGCATATTTAAGAGTTTCCTCTACGACGGATACGGAGTCTTACGTTGAGTAAATCCGTGGCGGCTCAGTCCGCTCCTGCCGGCAGAAATACAAGACTCCGCCGGCAACCGCCAGCTGAAGCTCAGTGACGTGGGAAGGAACCCCGCCCCTCCCTGGCTCGTTCCTCACGTTGAGCTGCCCCTCTGCCTCCACCATGCAATTCCAAATAATTCTCCCGCGCACCATTGCGTATTTTCGGGCCCCTCTTGCTAATTGGAGCTTGAGTTGTTCCAAGTGCCACTTGGGCAGTCGAATATAATGTCAATGCTTCTCAGAAGCCTTTGTTATGGGCCTGTTGCCCTGTTGCCCTGACTAATGCTAATGCATCTGTTAAGGCTGTTGGCGTCTGGTGTTTGTGGTCCCTTCAATCGTAAACCGCAGCCCCTCCGAGGGGCAATAGACAATTATATAATAACCCTCTGCCGTTCTTGCTTTCGTCTCATGCTACTCAATTTCATACACATCGTCGCTCAAACACGTCAAAACAAAACCTTCCACCCTCCATTACCGTCATCATGTCTGGACTCAAGGTCGGCGATTCTTTCCCTGAGGGTGTAAAGTTCTCTTACATCGAGCCATCTGGCGACGACATCAACACATGTGGCATTCCTGGACCCTATGATGCCAGTGCTGGTATGCTTCCCGCAGCGAGCTCCATGAGCCCTACATCAAGAATCAATTGCTAACAGGTGTCCTTAGAATTCAAGAAGAAGAAGGTCGTGCTCGTCTCCGTCCCCGGCGCCTTCACCCCCGTCTGCTCGTCTGCCCACCTCCCCTCATACATTGCCAACCGCGACGCTCTCAAGGCGAAGGGTGTCGACCAGGTCATCATGATTGCCTACAACGACGCCTATGTTATGTCTGCATGGGGCAAGGCTCACAACCTCGAGGACGACTTCATCCTCTGTGTCTCGGACCCTGGCTTTAGCAAGTCCATTGGCTGGAACGATGGCGAACGCACCTCTCGCTACGCCATTGTTATTAATCAGGGAAAGGTCATCTATGCTGAGAAGGAGACAAATGGTATTGAGAAGACTGGCGCTGAAGGTGTTTTGGCCGCCCTGTAAATTAGACTCAATCCTACGATAGATCGGGACTAGGCTGCCGCGTTTTCAGCAGCTGCAGATAGAATAGACTAGATTAACGATTAGAAATGAGGAACTGATGAACTTCAAATATTGAAATGTTCGGGTTCCGTTTCGTGACAATAACCTCGATTTATGTGGAATATTCTGGAGTCGCCATTGGGCTGTGTTTTGACTTCATCCTGGACCAGCTGTGTCCCCTGCCGCGTAAAACTGGCAGCCGTACAAACAAAATGCCCCTCGTGCCAAATAGCTGCCCGTTATTGTACCCTATACCTATTACCGAGTCACCAGGAACCACAAAGCATGCAGCATTGAACGAGAAGCTAGTGTTTTGACTTTGAATCATTGCACAGGTATGTCATTTGCTCAACTACCAATGCACCCATGGCATTCCATGCACCCGAGAATTTGTAGAAGAACCGGCCGGAAAGGACACAAGAACCACATACTCCACCACTCTTCCAGTTTTCTCTTTAATTCATACCGCTTTTTGCACCAAACCCCCGCAAGACAAATTTCAATATCTTAGCTTAGCGAGTTCGGGCGGCAACCTTGACTGGTGCACCCTTGGCACCCTGCTTGCTGACGTTTCGCTGGGTCTGGCCCTTGCCAGCGGCGGCAGCGGTCTTGGCCTTCTCAGCCTTCTTGGCAGCAGCGGCAGCGTTCTTCTTCTCCTTGCTCTCCTTGATAGCCTGGGCACGGGCGGCAGTTCTGGCCTCGGGGCGCATGGAGCGTCGCTCCTTGATCACATCGAGGGAGGCACCGACGATAGCACGCTGGGCCTTGACGGTTCGGCGGGTACGCTTCTTGGCAACTTCCTGTACAAGGCATTAGCATTAGCAAATGGTTCAACTGTGCTGCCAAGATCCCGGCATATATCCCGTCAGACGAAGACACCGAGCCTCCGTTGCCGTCTCCTGGGTTGGCTGATGCCCCTTTCATGTGCAGATAGCCCCAGAATCAGGAACAGCAACGTCATATCGGTTCTGTCTCGGAACATGTATGCCGGTCGATGTAGTCGGATCGTACCTCAGAGATACCCTTGCGGTGCTGTCGGCGGTACAGAACAGTCCAGGCGATGCGGCGAGGGTTCTTTCGCTGCAGGAACAGTGACTCCGACTTGCCATTCTGGAATCGGAACACCTTGCTGTCGCCACGGACGTAGATTTTACCCTATCGGACGGCATGTTAGCAAAACCTGTCTGCCGAATTGTACCCTACTCCCCCTCGTCATGATGTTTTCCGGTCCGCGATAAAAAGAACTCCGTTTGTCCAAACAGTATACATCCGAATACATCCGTCGTACGTCCATCTTGTACTGCCTCTTCCCTCTTTTATATCGCTTTCGCCCGTCAAGGAACCAATTTGCGACCGGAAACACAACCATGACGACGGGGAGTACTCGAAAGGGAAAATAGGACAAAAAAAGTCGTACCTTGCCAGGGTAAATTCTCTGGCCCGAGAAAGTATCGTCGTAGGTACGCATCTTGTCGCGGTTGTGGGTTTATAGCGACAAGGTGTATGTGTCGAGGACCGTAGATTTGGCGGGTTGGCAAAAGTTGAGCGGCGTGATACGGGCAATTTCTCGAATTGGAGGTGTGTGCCATAATGACTAATCGGTCTAGGGCAGACGAGGCGCTAAAATCGGGTGACTGTGCGGCACATGATGGGTCACGTGTGTAACTAGCAAGCGACGTTGTGGGGATTTGGCTTCCCAGTTTGGGTCAATTGGCAAATAGGGCTTCAATCCGCCAAAAGTGCATCGAGTCCCAAGGCCTTGTCGCTTCATGGGACCTTGTGAGATGAAACTCATATATCTTGAGAATTTGACGAGGATATCCAGCTTTAATTTCTTCTTTTGTAGTTTGAGATTGTAGGCTCTATGAGATGAGCCACTATTTGCTCTTAAATGACAACGACCTCACGAGCGAATGTCATCGCGCGAACCGTCATATCGCAGTTCCAAAAGCTACCAGCAAAGCGAAAGCCTACAGTCCGAAATAATGGATTGCACGAATGGGTTCCGCTGAGTGGCATTGTCGCCGAACAAGATGGGAAATGGGCCTGTTTAGCTTTGGCGTAAGTGCCTTTCAGATGGGGGTGCAACTGAAAACCGTAAATCACTAAAGAACTTTACCACTTAGCACAGGCATGAAGTGTCTTCCGGCGTCCAAACTTCATGAAGCAGATGGTAATGCGATTCACGATTGGCATGCCGAGGTCCTCGCTATCAGGGCTTTCAACCGATTTCTCATAGACGAGTGCAACACTTTACAGCAGGGGAAGTCTGCTTCCATTCTGCAAGCCTGCGGCTCGCATGAGCCTAAACCGTTCCGCATCAGAGACGGTTTGAAGCTTCACATGTACTGCTCTGAAGCACCCTGTATGCTCTTCGTATTGTGGTCAAATCTTACATAAGGGTCTAATTGCTTCACCAGGTGGAGATGCAAGCATGGAGTTGATAATGGCAGCTCAAGACGACGCATCGCCGTGGGATATCCCGCCGTCACCCGTGACAACAGAATCAGATGCAATTGCGACATCGCTTCCAGGTCGAGCCTATTTCTCCCAACTGGGCGTTGTTCGACGCAAGCCCGCGCGTGGCGACGCTCCTCCAACCTTATCCAAGTCCTGTTCCGACAAAATCACACTCAAACAATGCACATCGCTTCTCTCATCACTGACATCTCTCTTTATCGATACTTCCAGCGCTTATATTGACACGCTTGTGCTGCCAGGGTCTCAATACTCAGCTACGGGCTGCCAAAGGGCATTTTCGGAACGTATGAACAATTTGATGAATGCATCTTGGCCCGGGGGCTACCAGTTTCGTCCGTTCACAGTCGAGACTACTGATGAAGAGTTTGAGCTTTCGAGGAAGACAATAAGAGAAAGGTCTGAAAGCATTGCGCCAAGTAACATTGCGGCTGCGTGGTCCGCCACAGGTGTGGAAGAGACGATATTGGGTGGTGTTATTCAAGGGAGGAAGCCTTTCGATGTCAAGGGCGCCAGTAAGATGTCTAGGAGACAATTGTGGTTAGCAGCCAGAGAGGTATCCAACAGTTTGAATGGCTACGGTGGTATAAAGCAGCTTCTGAGCTCCAAGACCTACCAAGACGTCAAGAACGGAGAGTTGCTAGCGGATAGGCGACATGTCAAGCAACACGTTCGGACAACTGCTTTGGCCGGCTGGATTCCAAATCTAGGCGACTCAAATTTCTCCATCTGTACCGGTGCTTGAAAACAACAAAGCCAGGGGCAAAGAGCACTGGCGGATATTGGAGAATATTGTTTACATCATTAAAGATTTGGCATTTTCCCTAGATGCGGTTGGGGTCTTTGTCCGAACCCGAACCTGCTAAAGACAGCTTTCACGCTCCCGTGTCGCTTACATCCGCCGCCACACTCCTCATGTCCCGACAGTTCTTGCAACAACTCCTTTTTCTTTCCACGTAATAGACAAGAACATTGGCAAAACGTCGCAGACAAATTTCCTGCAACAGGCAGAAAATATGTAATTGGGGTCCTTTCCACGATGAGAAGAAAGCAAACCAGAGTAAACCCAATTGAAATAAAAATCACCAAGCACCAAGTACTTCATTCCAAGGCCAGCCTGACGGCACTTCATTTCGCAAGAATACGCCACCCTAGCCAGTTTCCATCTTGTACTAAACCCCATCCCCTCCTCTTTCCCGTTGGTCATCAAACAATGTTCGTGCTGGAGAGGGACTCTTCATAAGATCAATTTACTCAACCTTGCTCTCGAAATTCTCGCCCTCAACGAGGTCGGGGATCTCGTCGTCGTCCTCACCCTTCTCGGCCTTCTGCATATTCTGGTAGCTCTCGGCGAGCTTGCGGAGGGAAGCGAGAGAGTCTGGGCCCAGCTGGTTCAGGATGCCGGGGACAAGCTCAGTGAGCTCCTTGTCCTCTCCATTACCGTAGATAGCGAAGGTGTTGGAGGGGACAGCGGCGTGGACTATACGCAAGGGCGAGGTGTCAGCAGGAGATCTTGTGCTCCGTTTTCCGGCCCTGGATTCAAGTATATGTACGCACCCTTGGGAGCAGAGAAGTGAATGACATTGCCATCCGACTTGAACATGTTGACCTCCTCAATTGCCTGGATGGGCTGAGTGTTCAGCTTCTTCAAGGTCTGCTGGAGCTTCTTGTCGTCGGCGCCGGATCGAGCGGGCGCACGCTTGACCTTTCTTCGGGGAGTACCTTTGCCACTGCATATTGTAAAAAGCAAGCGGTTGATTAGCTTCGGTCGGTGAGTCGATCGTTGGAATTTCAACTAGCGTAACATCATGCCATTCGTCAGATATGCGGTGAGAACTTACCCTACGTAGGCGAGTTAGCAATCTCCAGAATTTCCCATCACCCCTCTCCAGGAATTGAATTCCCCCCGTCTAGCAGTCCACTCACCGATACGGCCAGCCTGGCCAAGCTTCTTGAGGCGCTCCTGGACGTCAGCCATGTTGAGAGGTTATGAAGGAAGCGGAGGAGAAACTATATTCGCCCGTCGGCTCGTCAGCTCAAGACGTATCCCAAAAATCACCCACGGCGCCCAGGATCAAGTACAGGATCAGCCGGACGACGTCGGGATGAAAAAGGCCGAGCTACAACATCGGTTGGGAGAGTCACTACGCACCGAAAAAAGATGAGGGGTTGCGTCAAAGAGGCTGATTTGTCGCCGACGGCATGGATTGGTGATGGAGCAAAGTAAGAGTCGTTTTTGTGCGTGCCAAGAGTTTTCGCGTGTGGAAAATGTATTGCCCGAGCAGGAGGCCCCACCGGCGCTCAACGCCACGGTTGTTGGAGGCTGGCCAGAAATCTGGGGCTAGCTAGCCCGGACGTGGCCAACTGTCAGCACAGTACTCCGTATTCTGTACGGAGTAGTAACAGTTACATGACCACCATCCAAGACCACTTACAATGCTGTCCGGAGTAGAAGCCCTGCCTCGTTATTTTTGATTATAGTCCAAAGGGAATGTCGCATCAAGGCCCATTATATAGCAAGTCATGGGTCCCTGCAGCACATGGCATATTCACTCGGTTCGTTTGGGAGAATTACCACAGTCAGGTGTGCAATGCAGCAGTTCCGTACATCAACATAGGTCCATGGCCATAACTCTATGTTCTCATAAGGTGGGTGATTCATGAATTATTCCAGCAACATTCATGATTGTTCTCACGTTTTACGCTTTCATGCAGTACTCTGCTTCTGGGTGAATTCAATATATTCAACTTGCTGATACACAGCACTGCTCGGTATCTACATCATATACGCATTAACGGGTATGGATATACCCCCCTAGAGGACTTCAACATCTCTTTCTTCGTGTTGCACCTCCCTCGCCTACCACGTGTCAGGGCCGAGTGGTTTAGTCACATTTTGGATGAACTGCCTTGTCACGGCTTTGCCTTGGGCATCCAAGGTTTCTTGCCAGACGGTGGTACCCCACCATTCGGGGAACTCAGTCTCGCTTAGACCAAGACCAAGGCCGGTAATGACAGTGCAGAGAGCAGTGCCGATGTCAAGGGCACCAGATAAAGCATAAGTGTAACGACTCCACCATCCAAAGAAAGCCCTGCGGATGAAAAGGTTGAAGATGAGACCAACAATGACCCACTGGAAGAGGAAGTAGAGGGTGGCAGGGGGAATCATTCCGGCAGCACCGAAAAGAGCAGGAGTGATGACGTAGCGTGCCCAGCTGCGAGGGTATCTTCGGGCAATCAGATACTGGATCACAGGGCAAATAAAACCAATGAACCAGAACCAGTTTGTCCAAGAATATCTACACCGTAAATTAGCATGAATAAAGAATTTTGCAAGTGCAAATACTCACATTCCACCGGCACCAAAGACCTTCTTGGGGCCAATGACTCCCCAGATAACACTCGCGTTATAGAAAGTTCGCGCACCAGGACAGGTCAGACCTTGCTTCTGGGTTTCTGTGCAAATCTCACTGATGTTACCCCGAAGGAAGTTATAAGCAGAAATCTGAACAAATGAGAGCCAGATAACAGCGAAAGCCTGAGCAGCAAACATGCTGCGGGGAGGAATCTTCATATAGTGGCCAACCTTCATATCAGAAATGTAGTTTAGCCCGTTGTATGACAACATGTAACCGTAACTCTTGAAGAGCATCATGGCCACGGGGCGACCGGGCATCATGTATCCAATAATCATCTCTGTAATGATGTTCAAGCCGGTTTGCTGGTTGGTGATGGCCTGAACCATGCCAATCGGGATAAAGAGGACAGCGCCAATAAGAATACACACAATATACGCCCACCAGGGTAAGTGAGTATCCCAGACTTGGCAGGCAATCATACCAAAGGCGAAGCTGACCGCAAAAATACACATGAACCACCATTCAGGAGCTTCCTTGTACTTGCGCATAAGCTTCATATGCACGTCAGGCTCATCGTGTTGCGAGTTTTTGGCCCGGTTCCATACATCCCGTCCATAAAAGAGGATGATATGCATAATAGTAGACATAAGTGCAGCAAAGCCTAACCCATAAGAAAGGGAAAAGGTAGGGCCGAGGAGAATAGGTGAGTATTGCTGGTAAGCCGTCTCGTTAACAGTGAAGTCCGGAGCAAGGATACGGCTCGTGTTATAGGACTTGGCAAATCTGTCAAAGTTTTTGTTGGCGCTAATAGGGAGGTATCGGTAGTACTCGGGACCAGCAAACGCAAGGCCGGCCGCACCTATGGTCATGAGGCAAATGCCAGCACAGACATTAAGAATGGCAAAAGCGGGAGTCTGTAGCGGTGAGCTTAAGAAAGCGGTCACGGTGGCCCAGTCAAGAGACATCGGCATAAGACCGAAACCAGTATTGCCACCGAAAATTTGGTTAACAACAACATTATTCGGGGCAATCCAAGTAGGCCACATAAAATAGCTCAGAAAAGGAGCAATGACTAGAGGGAACCATTCCCAAAGAAAGGTGCAGCCCGCGACAAGGAGGAAGAAGCTATAACGACCAATCTTCCACCCATTGGTGGCAGAGGGATCGGACGGGCGATGATCATGAAGCGAGTACATGACTGTGCAGGTAATGAGCGTAGCCGGCCAAACCATTGACGATGGCCAGATGAGGAATCTTCGAGCAATGCCAGCAACACCGAAGCCCATAGCTTGGGTTGAAAGCATGAGAAGAATTTGGAAACCCCACCTATATTTAACATATTAGCAAATAGTAAAATATTGAGGAGCTGGCCGGGCTAAACCCTACTTGAATTCCTGCTTGTAAAAGATTTCCTGTGCAAGGAGAATGTCGATGGCGTAGCTAAGAGAGCTGCCCGCCGCAGTCATCATGGTGATAATCGTATGCTCCTTGGTATTGAAAGGGCCAGGGTTGAGCTCGAGAGTGCGACCGAATACTTTGAACGTCTTGGCAGGCATGAACTTGGCCCAGCCGCAACCAAGCCTGGGGTAAAAAGTTAGGACATGGGCGAGACTAGACTGACATGAATGTAGTGGCATCAGGACTTACGGATAGGCGATAAGCTGAACGACGGTAGACGAGATGGATATGGGAGTACGACGCATGCTAAGCAAGACGTTGCAAGCAGCAACAACGGTGCAGAGAGTAGCTCCAATAGTCCAAGCTCGAAGAGTGTTGACAGGGACATCAATGTCAGTGGGAGGAACCTGTGGTCAAGCCTTGTTAGCCCATTCAACCACATTTTGGGCTCGTCTGGGAGCGATATAACGCTCAGGCGAGCCAATTGAACAGTCCATGATACTTGTACTTACCGAGTTGCGGACCTCTGGGTAAGGCGAATCCTCCTGAATCAGAGACTCATCAATAGCAGCCTCCTTCTCGGCATTGCCAGAGGCGAGGGCATCATCAATGTTGTCGAGCTTGTCAATGTCCAGGAAGGGATCCCACTGATGCTGGCGTCTGAATCGGCGCAGCTCGCGCTCGGTGCCTTCAGTGTTGGGGAGGACATCGGCGCCAGTTGTCTCACCCGTAGTCTCAGTCGACTTGATACCGAAGCGTTCCTTGAGGCCCATGGTTGCCACTTCTTATGCCTGCACCAGTGACTTGGACCAGACTAGATGCAAGACGGACACGGAAATGCCAATGCACAGAGGTAGGCAAAAACAAGGAGGGAAAGAGCGAGGGGCGCTGGAGTTTATATCCCAGAAAGAGACGGGACTCGGGAGCACGACATCTGCTCAAGCGAGCGCCAGCACAAAGATGACACCGTTCATCCTCCACAGACCGCCGCACCCTTGCTTCCAGCATTCATAGCCGACCGAGAGCAGAAACAGGACGACGGTTGTAGGGGTACATTGCCCTTGGACACGATGCAACATCGCACACGGATTCGGAACGGGGAAGCATGTGCGGGTATGAGGAGCCAAGAGCCGAGACAGACGCCGTTTTTGGAGCTAATAAGTACCAGGCAAACCATAGGCCCATGACAGGCGGAAGCAATGCCCTCCTCTGCATGTCTCGAACATTGTCGGTGGCCAGCTCTGTTTCCGGTATCTCTGTGTGCCACATCTGAATTGTGGGTGGCAATTGTTTGTCGGCAGGTAGGGGTATGTTGGAGGCAAGGGACGAAGACCCTGGCGTGCGCATCACGACAGCTTCAAAGTTCACGCCCTTGTACGAAAGAAGGCGGGATGAGCCCATGTGGCACCCCGCTTCCACAGCGGCCTCGGCGCCCCCAGCTCTGACCGAACGTTCAATGTTGGTCTCTGTTCCAGCCCAAAGCAGACGGAAACATTATGATTGGAATATGGCACGCCGACCTGCCTAATACAGCCGCGGAGCTATTTCGCAGCTGAGAGGCATCTTGTCTACTACTGCTATTCTCGTGGCTGTACAACTCGGTAGGGCGTCATGGATTCATTTTGACACATGTTGTACGCCTTTAGAGGGGTCTGTTCGAGTTGCTCTGTTGCTCGTTGCTAATAGTCGGCCTGCGCGCCCTGGTCTGTTGGCATTGATATCATTATTCATGCGACATTGCAGCCGGTTGCTTGCTCAGTATGAACTACATACGCCAGGCCTTTTACCAGTACCGACCAGAGACACGACGAAAGCCACATTCTCACTCGGCGAAATCAATACAAATCGGAGCACGGGGTACGGAGTAATATGGCTCGAATTGGCCTATGATGACAAGCCGATTTCACAACACCATGGCCAACGTCATAAGAGTCTTCCCGAAGGCTCCCCGATATTGTTTCGCAGCAATCTAGCCAGGGGGGCCGCTCATCCAGGCAATCAGGTCGGCCTAGAGAGTTTGGTGTGAGTGGATGCTTCCATTCCGGAGTACTAGCGGCTTTCTTATCTGAACTGTGAGGATCTTTTGCCAGCCTTGAGAGTTGAGCTAGGATTGCCGCCTCCAACCTATTATTACTGGCTGGAAGAATGACGGTGCCCAATCATGGACAGACATGCATCGGATACCCAGTGTCAGAGTCTCCATAGCACGAAACAAATTGATGTTTTGCTATCGTGGGCACGGGATAAGCAAGATGGAGCTTGCCGTTGGCATTGCTGGCTACCTGGCGAAACATACAATGCAATTACATCTTTTTCATCCTTCTTGGTCTCTTTTCGCCGCAGTTGAAGAGGTGGTCTGTGGGCTATTTCGACAGCGGGTGATGAGCTGCGACATGTCTCGTCACATCGCCAAAAGGTTGGTCGGATGCGGTGAAGCACAAGGCATACCGAACTCCCTAGGTAGTTGACAGTGTATGCCAGACGAAATGTTCCATGTTATACAAAGGTTAACTTTAAGGCTGCAGCCAACACGGTCGCAGCAAGAAAACTCGGTGCAGGAAAAGAGGGACGAGCTCGAGAGGCTTTCTTTACCACCGATGCAAAACGAGACCCTCACGCAGATTGAAGGGGGGGGCCATTGTGCTTGAAGCTACAGCCATGAGCCGTGCACCTGGCTGTCGCTGCAATTCACCAACTGACCTCGATGCACGGATATCGAGTGTTCATGGTGTTTGTCTCACTAACTTCGTCACCAATCGAAGGGGCCCTGGAGACACCATTGATAGCAGCGCAGCCAGCTAGCCTCGAAGCGGCAGGCAGAGGTCGGAGCACTTGAGCGGCTGTTGGAAAGCCAATCCGCTAGTCATGGTTCCCCAGGTCATATCGGGGATGCTAGCTCATACTGGACCCTAGAGAACTTTTGTTCTGTCGCAGACACAGACGGGCAGTTTGGGGCTTGTCGCGTGCAACTTTAACTGGCCTTTTTAAATCATACGGAGGACGGAGTACAAGCGACCGGGCCAGTGGGGATCAGGGCTCTCTCTTCTCCTCCTTCATTCCAACATGGATGCCTCTAGTTGATCTTGGCAGGTCCTTTGATCAGTATCTGGCAGGAAACAATGGTGTTTTAACCTGATGCACGTCCTAGTATACATACGGCTATCTTCCCTCATATCATGGCCCCTGGTCGACGCTCAAGACGGGACAGCTGATAATTGTCACGAGCTCCTCTCGGACACCGGCAGCCTGCACAACCCAATTCAGTCAGTGCTTATTTCGATGAAGCATTAAACATTAGAACAAGCGTGAGACACATGACCAGAGTAATTGCTAATTTTATATGTATGTACGCAACTCACCACCCAGATCCGCAGCTACTAGTACTACTATTACGTTGTACAGTACGAATGAAGCTCGGTCCGCAGGGGGTGCTTCCCTACCAAATGTCGATAGCTCTATGTCTCCTGCAAATGCCAACGCCGTAATCACGCAGCGCAGGCTTCTCGTGGCCCAGTGTTGATGAAGGCTCGGTCTCAAGATTCCAGATGGTCATTACTATCGGGTGTCGACAATCAGGCGCCATGGCTTGCCACGGATCTCTGGGCGTTTCTGGGCGTTGCTAGGCATCGCCAAGCAAGTGCTGCCAAGTCGGCTGGCGGATGCCGGGCATGCATAAACTCTACACAATAATTGCGTGATACACGCCTGTGGCTGCAGACCAAAACGAGCCCGTTGAGAGCAATTCTGCCGTTCATCAGTTCATCAGTTCACCAGTTCACCAGTTCCCCCAGCTTCGTCATTGCCATGGACATGGCAAATTCCTCAATCAAGCTAGCGCGTATGCACAATCATACTTGGAATTAAGGTGTTTACGGCAGGGACGAGTCGACCACTAGCAGTCACGGCCGGATGGCCAACGTTGCGCCGTATGTGCAAGGATTGGTGATGATTGAAGCGCCTCGGCCGTAGCACTCGGCGTCTTGCCGCCTGGATCTGGTATAGTGCCATCCCGACGAATGAGATCCAGACCCCGACCAGATGAGGTCAGGTGGTGGCCAATCCGCACGGGGACATCAGAAAGGAGGGCGAGGAACAACAGGCAAAGACGATGAAAGACGTGGCTAGATTTGACCGGTTATCTCGTTGGACCATCAGCCATCTGTCGGGATTGGTGAATTGTCAATATCGACTACTACTACTCCACAACCGCAAGTAGCCACCAGGAAGATACGACGACCGTCTGCCAAGAGGGCCGTTTGTCGTTGGTACTAGTACTACTATCAGTTGGTTCACGCTGTTTGGGGAACTTTTTGTCTGCTGCCAAGACTAGAGACGGAACATTGTCGCTTGATGCGGAGAGGGGCGCAAGGTGGTTGGTGTGGCACAATGCGGCCATGCCAAAATCGAGGGACTCTTCCGATCTGGACATCGACATGCACACGGCGTTTATTGTGGCAAGGGGGCAAAGATCATGGGTACGCCGATAGTCGAGCCGGTTTTTTGGCAGCAAAGCCATCGGGCCGCGCCACGTTGGTCTTGGTTCTTGCCACCAGACACGATCAATTAACATGGCTCACTAAATGTCCTGTCCCTGCCATACGGGCAACACAAGTTCCTCAGATACTGGACATTCGCTGCGGTGAGACGCCACGTCTGATACGTATGTTACACGGATGAGTGGACTCGGCAACAGCCACCGCAGAGGCCAACCGTGTCGATTCCATGAGCTCGGCTCAATGAGAGAATGGTCAGTTCGCCCTGGTCACGGCTCATGTGCTCACTGCTCTCTCTCTCTCTCTCTCTCAATGGCAGAGAAAGCCCAACATGGCACTCTTCTTTTGCTGGTTGAATACTGAGTATACCCCCAATACGGGGTAGATCTAAAGTCGTATTGGCATGTCAAAGTCGAGATTGCCGCCTGAGCCCGCCTCCGCATGTTTACCCCAGAAACCATTTCCCCAACCTGTCTCGTCTCGACCCGTTCGCATTGGCACTATTACTAACAGTTTTGCAAAAGGTCCTCCTACCTCTTATATGCCTTGGCAGTCTTTGCTAATAATCGTACACTTGGAAATAACAAGGCAAGTAGTTGTACATGGATGAGCAGTGCATCCTGACCGTATTCCTGCATGAAAAGTTCCGCACCCCCGGCAGCCTTTCCGCTGTTGTACACAAAATCAATCCCCGTTCATTTTCCCCCCAAATATTGCCTCTGGACGAGCCGAGCCTCGTCTGTGCTCCCACGTTTTTGCGTACCATTCATCCCCTAGCACAGCGACCTCTGTGGGATCCCAGTCTGCAGATTTTTTTTTGATTTTTTTTTACTTGGAGCCCAGGCCGGCCTCGCGTCGCATTTCTTCCCGGCGAGCATCCGCCTCTTTCTGCTGCACCTTGGCCGCTTCCAGCACGGCCTTTTTGCGCCTCTCTTCCTCCTCCTTGACCACGATCCAGACTAGATTGGGTAAAAACACGCACCCGTTAGCTCTCTTGGTTCCCAGGGATATGGTCACGTCACCTTCCCTCTTCCAAAACAACCCTGCCGCAAGAAAGGTAAAAGGTAGAGGAGGGAGCGGGGAGGGGGGGAGATCATGTGCGTGAGCTCGGCAAGGGGGCGCGGACGACTAACTCGGTTTATCCGATTTGGAATACTCCTTCAGCCTCGTCACGAAATCATCGAATTCTTGCTGTCGCTCCTCCCTCGTCTCGATGCTCTTCTTGAGCAGATCCGGGTTGTACTTTGCGCGCAGCTCGTCCTCGGTCGGCGTGAGTCTCATGGTCAGTAGGGGTCCTCCCACGCTGATTGCTACACCGCTGCGGTCGCCGTGTTAGCCGTGTGCGCAGCATGATTCCGCTTCACGGGGAGCGAGGTACCCGACTAGGACTTTGGTCCAGAGGCGCCAGTTCGTAGGCTGCTTGGGCGGCATGGCTGATGCCTCGGCGTTGCGCTGTGTGTATGCACGGTGCTGGGCTTGGCGGGGAGCGTGGTTTGCGTTCGCGTCGGCGCGGGCGTTGGCTCTCCTCGATGATGGGTTGATCGCTGCGATTGCGATGATGCCGAATCGTGAAGTTGAATCTGTTTGGTGGCGGGTTTTTGAGCAACTGGTGGCTGAGCACCGCCGCTGTACAAGGCTGTGGCGTCGTCGGTCCATATAGTGGGGTCATGGGTCAGCGATTGCTCCACGCGTCATCGGTTTACTCGACTATAATTTTGAGTTGGGATGCTCTTGTTATTTGGCATTTATTCCGTAGTGCTGTTTCTTGGAAAGTATCAGCAAGATCTTGTGGCTAGATTCCGTCTTCCGTCCAGGGTTGCCTGCGCAGTCCCTAACATGGCGTGGATTTGTGGTGACTGCTTGCTACCCTGCAGACCTACCACAGCCCACAGTCACGATGTTGAAGCTTAACACGGGGGAATTTATTCGGATCAGGGAGAATAATGCTCGTCATTTTTATGATGGGGATATTGTATTAAATTGGTATGTACGCATTTATCTGTTCGATTTTTGTCGCAATAAAGACACGCGGTATACCCTTGGTCTGGCTATAAGCATCGTCAACAGAGCCATGCACATCGTTTCACAGGACAACTTATCTAGAGCCATTTTCCAGTGTAAATACATTCAATGTGAATTATTACCCGTGTCTTCTTGATTCTTCGACCGAAATTTGTAAACAAGCGTCGACGATATTTGGACTCGGTTCCGTGATATCCATATCCGAATCCTCAAACATCCATGGGAATACTCTGCAATTTGACCCATTCATTTTTCATCGGGAGGGCAACTCCACCGAGTTTCGTCCGAAGTGGTAAAAATATTGCAAGTTTCATTGATTCAAACAGAGAGTGATGTAGATCCTACAGGGGCAAGTGATATTCTTGCTGAACCAGGAGTAAATATCTAATATTTTAGCATATATCTCATCCTACCAGCGCATCTCGCACGAGGAGAAAGGCTTGGACATCCCACTCAAGTCGTAGGATTCACCGCCAGAGACTCGCTATCCACTCCAACACCATTTGGTGCCTCCTCTTTACCGGGACTCTGATTCCCCATCAAGAACCGCATCGTTGACCCGGCGTCCCCTTCCTCTCTCGACAGCATCTCAACCACACCGAACCGCCCAGCCCAACCTAAACAAAACGCTCGGCGACGTGCTTCGCGCCCCCCTCAAACATGGCCCTCAAATCGGCCACCAACGCCTCGGGCCTCTCGTAGGCCGCGAAATGCCCCCCCTCGTCGTGAACACGCTCAAACACCACGGGTCCCAAGGCGCGCCCCCACGTCCTCGGCGGCAGAACCAGGTCCCTCGGGAAATACGACAACCCCAACGGCACGCCCGGCACGTATCCGAACCCGCGCTGCGTCCTCGCCACCTCGGCGTGCTTGGACTCGTAGTAGATGCGCACGCTGGCCGCCGCGCCCGCCGCCGAGAATTGGTACACGCACACCCAGGTGAGCACCTCGTCGTCGGTCCAGGGGTACCCGTCGGTCCAGTCGTGCAGCTTCTCGTACACCCAGGCCAGGAGGGCGACGGGGTCGGCGAGCGCGACGCCAACGGTGGACGGGCGCGTGCTCTGCTCCGCGTTGTACCCGGACCCTTCTGTCCGGAACCAGCGGGTGCGCTCGAGGAACGCGGCCTCGACGGCCGTGTACGGCGTCAGCAGGTGCCGCAGGTACAGGAGGGGAGAGGTCAGCAGGGCGGGGGGGCTTTGCGCCCGGATAAAGTTGACGTGGGAGGCGAGGCAGGACGACGGGTATTGCAGGCCAATGAGGCGCGTGATGATGAAGCCCCAGTCGCCGCCTTGGGTGACTATTGCATTTGTTAGTGGGATTGTTTACTTTACATGGCGAGTTTGCGCTCTTTTTTGGTTGGATACCGTATTTGTTGTATCCGAGGCTGAGCATGACCTTGTGCAGCGTCTCTGCGTACTGCGGGATGCTGAAGCCCTTCTTGCGGACGCCCTCTGAGAAGCCAAAGTTGGGGAGAGACGGGGCGACGACGTGGAACGACGGCCCGTCCGGGGCGTCTGTGAGGAGCGGTAGGATCTTGGCGACTTCTGCGAAATGGCCCGGCCCTGTAGGGGGGGTTAGTTGGCCACTTGACGGGCTTGCGAGAGTCGTGGACGCCGACGAGACGGGCCGCACGTACATCCGTGGCAGAAGAGGAGCGGGATGCTCCCTGGCCTCGGGCTCGGCTTGTGCACAAAGTGAACACGGAGGCTTCCGAAGCCGTCTACGTGTATGGTCGTCTTGAACTGCGGCAGCTCGGCGTTGAGTTTGGCCTCGTGGGCGCGCCAGTCGTAGCCGTCTTTCCAGTACTTGGTGAGGCGGAGGATGTCGTCTCGGGGCGCTCCGTAGTTCCAGTCATTGGAGAAGTCAACCTCGTCGGGGAGATCAGACAGTTCCAACTTGGCTTTCAGCTTCGTGATGGCGGCGTCGGGGACGTCAATCTTGAATGGAGTGATGCTTGCCATTTTTGCCCGTTGGTTCGCGACTATTGTGCTGTCATTCTGTGAGTCTGTGTGATATTGACGGCCAAGGAAACTAGCAGCGAGAAACGAGATCATTGAGCGGGGGAATTCATCCTCAATTGCGTGATTTGTAATGAGCATGCATGTCGCCCGTTGGAGGCGTGGATGATGTCAAAGGCGGTGGTTAAAGGCGTAGCCTCACATTGGCTGCCGTCGGGCGACTAAGTTTGTTAGCAAAACGATGAGTGCGGGCCGGGGCACGACTGGGCGTACGTACGTCTCCCAAGCTGCTTCCGTGTTGCCGGCCCCAGTTTTAGCCGCCGAATGTACATAGAGCGGATCGGGGGTGCGGGGATGCCGGTGCCGAGTCCCATTGCTTCATTTTTAACGCTGCTGTACCACATGTAGTTTACTACTTTAATAGCGTTGGATTGCTCAAGGGGTTCACTGCCATGTCTACCCGCACAAGGACCATCTACAGCTGACCATCTACAGCTGACCTTGAGATACGCCTTGGTGAGTCAACTTTCAAAAAGAGGACGGAGCAGTCACTTCGACTCATAGTGGCTCAGTCCGAAAGGGGCAGAGTCAAGTGGGGCCGCGCCGCGTCCAGCCTCCGCTCGGAAGCAGGAGGCAAGAAACGAGAGAGCTACTCTGTAGAAAGCGAGGAAGCTCCCCGCATCGCAACGAATTGACTGCAGGACCGGCTCCTGAGACTCGTCAATTAGTATACATACTGGCTCGTGAGTCACACTGTTGGCCCAGAATGGAAATGCGCGCCGCCGAAACGGGGGACCTGGACCGGACGAATCGGTAACCCGCCTTGGCTAACGTGCGAACCGATACTTTCAGCAAGTTGACTTATATAATTGTCCGTCGCTCTTGCCCATCACGGAGGCAGAGTTGACATGAACACAGACGCAACAATCTCGTCGACAACGACACCGTCTCTACTAAGCTTCAATACTCGCAACGCTACGCCTACACCGTCCATATCCGAACACACAGCCAGCATGACAGACACAAACACCGGCGTTGTCGTGGACCAGCTGCCCCTGACCGTTGCGCAAGCCCCGTCCCTCTGCAGGCTCTGCAACGTGCAATTGCTCGGTCTACAAACGTGGCGAGCCCATGTCAAAAGCGACGGGCAGTACGTTTTCCCCCTTTTGCTCCTTCGGCTCCAATAATTTTTTTGTTTAATTTTTTTTTTTTTTGAATCTAATCCCTCTGGGGCAGTGTCTATAAACTTCGAATCAAGGTAGCTCAACCAGGCTGTGCCACATCGCCGCCGCCGCCATCCCCCCGTTCAACAAAGCCGGGTGAGAAATGCGCCGCACCACCACACACTCGCAAGTCGCACGAGCCAAAAGTCGGCGTTGGCCAAGACCAAAACGCCGACAGGGACAGTGACAGTGACACGGAAGACGAGCCACCAGTGCCGGAATTCGATCCCGGACAGTGCCTCTTCTGCGCGCAAGAGTCGGCCGCGCTGGGCGACAACATGGCACACATGGCCGCGGCGCACGGCTTCAGTGTGCCGTTCCGGGACCGCCTGGCCGTCGAGCCCGAGACGGTCGTGCGGCACCTGCACTTTGTTATTTACCGCCACCGGGAGTGCATATGCTGCGGCGCGCGGCGGACCACCGCCAGCGGCGCCCAGCACCACATGCTGGCCAAGGGGCACTGCCGCTTCGACGTGTCCCCCGCCACCGGGGCCCTCTACGAGATGCCGCAGTGTGGGAATGCCGTGGCCGAGCGGGTGCGGCGCGGCGCGGACGTGCCGGTGCGCCTGCCGTCAGGAAAGCTCGTCTGTCGCCGGGGGAGCCTCGACGCCCATGAGCCTCGGGCCGCGAGGCGACCGGAGTCGATGCCGGGCCGGGCGCTGGACCCCGTCGCCTCGCGCTCGGAGACGTGTCCGAATACTACTACTAGTCTTGCCGTTGTCGCCCGGCGGCGGGGAGGGGGCGGAAACGGCCGGGTTGTGCGTACGTGTGGCAGCGAGGCACTGCTTGCCGCGCAGCTGTCGAGGCTGCGGGTGGCGGGTGATAGAGCACAGCGCAGGGTGGAGGAGCGCAAGCGGGGGAGGCTCGAACGAGCGAACAATACCGTCTTGTTTAAGCATTACAGACTAGATGCGGGTGATGGTCGGATAGGTCGTCAATTCTAGGCTGGATAGTGCCGGGCTCTTTTTGTATGCATCACTCGGCTTGAGCAAAGGAGGGGTTGCTCAGGGTATACGTAGCAGATTAAGTTACTTTTTGTCCTTGCATCCTGGTACCGCCGCGTCGTATGTATACACATACTACTTGGTCCAGATTTGGCCGCTGTCCGCGATGCCATTGGACGTTGGGCACTCCGCTTCACAGAGAGTATTTGAGACGGGGCCATTCTTGAGTCGAGAAGATAACTAGCGAGGCGTGACGCGAGTCCTCAACAACCATTGACAACCTTGAACCCGCGACAAGGACAGCACCTGGCATCCTGTCGGCCGAGACGCTAGTCCTGAGAGCGCGCGGTGGCCAGTTGAGGATCAGTGGTGAGACGACAGTAAATGCAATGAGGCAGTTGCTCGAGTTTAGCACGCCCGGGCCATACAATTCGCAAAAGGAATAAGCAGAATCGTCCCATGAGCTCGACCCCAAGATTTGGAATGAATATACCATGGTGGCTCCTGCCGCAAGCCTTAGGTCGGCGGGCTTACAGCGCTGGACAAACACAAAATCCAAACAATTTCAGCACGGCACGGCACCTCTGTAACCAATATTAACAGAATTGGATGTATTCATGCTTGTTTTCTTCAACTTCTCCCCTAAAGCGTCAAGTTTTCCGCAATCCCCCCCCCAGAGGCCCTAGTAACGTGACCAAGTCTACTCCTCCCCGTAACACCTGAGCAAATTCGTCCTCCTTATCACCCATTTGCTTCCCGAATCTAACGCAGACCGCCGTGGCCAATCAATATCTGAACTCCCTGATATACTGGCACTGCATTGATATTTTGTATCTAGATATCACCCTAGGGCTGCTAATCGCAAAAATGCAGCCTCACCCGACTCACCGCTTATTGCGTAGTTCGAAATGTCCTCCTTCGTATCATCATCTTCATCATCCTGTTGTAGAGCGTTGTCACCGGTCGTGATGGCGTCAGACGACTGGACTGGATTATTTTCCTTCATATTAGTGGTCTGCCTACCAACAGTCTCTTGAGTTTTCTGCCCATCAGAAATAATCCTCTGCTTCGTGTCTTTATTTGTGTCAACTTTGGACAGCGTCTCGGTCGCTGCAACACTGCTGGTCTCAGACTGACTTTGCAAGTGTGAATGGCGGTTAAACAGACAAGTCCGCCGAGCTGCGGCCAGAACGGATGCGCCTGGCTTGTACTTGTCACCCATGGCAAGCCGAATCATGACCCAGTGAAAAATCCACGGGAAACTAATAAAAGGCACATTAGGTCTTGGCTCTTCGCCTGAGTCGGTCTCGGCTTGATGACCGACTGGTTCATCGTCGCCACCATTGCGTGCCTTGTTGACCTGTTCCTCAGTAACTTTATACATGGCAGCAACAAACTTGTCCAGCTGAGGCGCTTCACTGCCTCCGGCGACATTGCAGCACTGTTCTCTGAACCGCTGCTTCACAACGTCGAATTCGAGACCCAGGTCTTCCTGTCTCTTGTAGTTGCTCGATATGCTGGTATTTGACATGACCCAGCCAGTGTACAGTTCATACTCGGTTTCGACATGGTACTGAACCATCAGCCGCCGTATGGCAGAATCGTACTGCGCCTTGATTTCTCTGGCTGTGGTAAGAGTACTCATGTCGAATTCATATCTCTCAAGGATTCTCTTGTCGAATGGATGCTCCCACTCGGGACGGAATTGGAACGTGTGCTTGGCCACTTCGTCAAATAAGGCCCCCAAGGCTTTGTTCGACCGATATGTCGACTTTTTCTCCATAAAATGCGGCCACCGTTCTGGCTGCATCTTGTGACCAAATTCTGCTGGTTCCCCGGTTTTCGCATAGTCTACGGCTTGAGAGTGCAACTCTGCTAGCCTCAAGCCTTTAATACAGAAGATTAGCAAGTACTAGTAGTTCACCGATGAATGCGGACGAAGCCACTTACATATTTGTGACTTTGGTCCATGCATGTCCGCAAATGCTAAATGTGCGACAGCAATCAGACCCAAATTGTCATTCTTCATGTAGTTGACGAAGAATTCGCGTAAATCATCAACAGTGACGTCCCTGTCTAGTTGTCGGGGATTTGGGGCTTGGTAGTCCATGGGCTTGTGATTCCATTCCTTTGGAATCAGTCTGTCATCCCAAATAATAAAAAAATCATCGCCATCAAGGTCACCGCCAGATAGCATGGCCGGGACCGGCCGATCTCCCTTTGATGGGAAGACGATAACATCTTTCAAGTGTCGAAGCTTGGGGTTATTCACGGCCTGAACAACTCGAATATCTCCTGGGTGAAGAGACGGATTTCTTCCCACTATGCATTTCCCTTGTATAATGTTGGTTTTTCCCTCATGACTTGGGTCCGTGAGCTGTAAGAAGATCTGAGGAAGTTTGTTTTCGTTGAGCTGATCGGAACAGCCTTCAGTCTCGATAGAATGACCTCGTAAGCTTCCACTTTCGTCCACGCATCCGAGGACAAAAGCGCTCTTCGGCACATGTATTCGCGTCTTTTCTCTTAAAAGGCGGAATGACCAGGATAACCAGAGATTAAAAGTATTGAGAGTAAATGGCTCCCGGACGTTGTCTGTCATGAACCCAGCCTTCAAAAGTTCGGCAAGAACCAACGAAGACTGGTTTTCGTCCACAAACTTGGTGAGTAACTTGATGGCTTCCGAAGTATCTTTTGCTGCATTTTCATACCAGCTGATTTGTTCCTTTAAAAGCGCCATGAACATTTTCTTCGGCACCCCGAGACTTTCCAATATTGTGATTGTTTGACGATTTAGAGTCGCAGTCGAACGAGCTGCGCAGCGTACAATCTCCAAGCC